GTGAGATTTTATAGTAAGTAGAGGAACAAATAACAGTTCTTCGTCGAGAAAACTACTTCTCTTGGTCGGTATGTAAGATAACGCGCTGCAATTTCCCTCTTCGTTTGAGCTGATTTTGCTTTCCTACAGGTACATCTCTTGTCTTACTGAAGTCCTGTCTATCTATATTGCATGGAGATAAGTTTAAATTTTGCAAAAAACGATCAAAACTTGGTATAAAACGACCTGAACTAAACACGGACGAGACAAATATTTCTGTTCTTTTAAGTTTATAGTTTTGGCTGATGTTTTTCATGCTTTCATGTTCATTCTGGATGGCGAAAAACTTAATTCTCTTGAAGAAAAACATCTCTTCTTACTTTGCTTTAGTTATGTTTGCCTTCCTGTCCACTAATAAACTCTTCAATGACCTTCAGTCATTTTGCCATCAACGCGTGGTATGAGGGAAGCCATTTCAGTGTTGTGAACGTCGCTTTCTGATTGGTTGATTACGGTTTTTCTGGGTTATGATTGGTTATATTTTCACATGTGAAAAATGCTATACGCGCTTCTGATTGGACGTATCGCTATTTTTCACATGTGAAAATATAGCATACAGATTTTTATTTATGCCATTTACTCTATGAAAGTCTCGTTATATATATAACTAGTCATAGCTACCGCTAAGTGCCAACGAGCAGATGATGTTTTCCAGAAGTTGTCATGAAGGGGATTTAGCGCTACATTAAATCAGTGAAATAGACGAAATATGTCACATAATTAGAAACTAAGAAACCAGTATAGCGTCATGTGAAGTTTGTTGTCTTTTCGATCTTATCCTAGATGGGTCTCCTCCATGATGTCAGTTTTTTAGAAGCTTCAGATTTTTATGAAGACACGGTCAAGATATCATTGCAATGTTAATGGTTTGTAGTGGCCCGGCTATAGACTCTTCCAAAGTCGCTTGCGAGTCGTTGAAGCACGCCATAGCTAAAGGGAGAAACTGTTGAAGTTTGAAAAGACCATAAATGGTGAGTAAATTAGGTCTCTGTTCCTTCATTTTGTTGTATTGACCTGTGCACACTTCCTAAGAGAGTTTTTAGTCAATCAAATTGTATTAGTCATATAGTCTTCCTACTGAACATGGATATCTAAGGATATCTCGGATAGCTATTCTCTGAAAGTAATTGTTCGTTGTGCCGTAAATCATAAAAGGCACTGGCCAATAAATGAGTACTTTAACTCAATGTGAGAATTCAATGAAATGTACTCTGTGCTCTTGTTAGATAGTTTTGTTTGTTTTAAAACTGACAGTTTGTCAAATAGTGCAGTGACACGCTGGCTTATTCGTGAACGCGTTGGTTCGTTTTGGTACTCAAGTTTATTGAGCACACTGGTTCGATGATTGACTAAAAACACTCTTAGGAAGTGTGCACAGGTCAATACAACCAAATGAAGGAACAGAGACCTAATTTACTCACCGTTTATGGTCTTTTCAGTACTTTAACTTCAACAGTTTCTTCAGGGGCGGATCTAGCATTTTTACAGACTAGTTTCCAACTAAAAAAATGTTGTATTGACATATGCTAATTAATCAAAACATGAATATTCATAACATCGGCCTGAAAAAAACCAAATGTTTGAATAAATGTTAAATGCTTTTTTTTGTCTGCAAAATGATTCTAATAAACTAATGAACTAGCTAAGCCGATTCAGCCAACTTGTTAACATACACAAGGGACGGCAATGCGCCGCGGTAGATGACGCTAGCAACCGAATTCCAGAAAATTGTATTTCGAATTTAAATTACCAATTCTTAACTGTGATTAATATGTAACTTATTCGGTTCAAGCGTTTTCATTCTTTTTAAATCAACAGAAATTATTTTCAATACATACCAAGCACGAAGAATGTTCACATGCATGAATCCGAATCTGTTTGGCGAATTCAATGTATACTACAGGAATTTCCTTTGAACAGTTTCACGAGAGGTTTATCCACATTCCGACACAAGANCGCTTCTGATTGGACGTATCGCTATTTTTCACATGTGAAAATATAGCATACAGATTTTTATTTATGCCATTTACTCTTTGAAAGTCTCGTTATATATATAATAAACAATATAATAATAAACAGTGGCTCGGAAACGTCAAGAAAAAAGACATTTGGACTGAACTTGCAACGAACTTTGCACTAGCAAAAGTGTTTCGACACATACCTGCTTCTTTGCTTCGTCCATAGCCTTTTCCAAACGATAAACTGATAGTTGAAAAGGACCAGTCTCTCCTCGGACAGGCTGAAATATTGATATACTACTGAATTCAATTATTGGACAAAGCCCATTCATCATTGGGTAGGTCTTCACCTTTCTCACGAATTCTCTGTTTGTCTGTGTCGTCCTTAACAGAACAATGACACTTTTTGTCTTTTTTCTTCTTTTCAACAAGGCTATTGGATTACAWCTTTSCAGAGGTGAAAACCCACCCCAGTCATTATCCAATGTAGCCAGGGAGAATATTTTTCACGGTATATCAGTATATAGAAACATCAGCCATAGCGTAATGGCACTAATTACATTATTATAAAATGCATTTCAAGAGTCATGGAAAAAACACGATAACTCTAGAGTCATTTTCATTTACAATGGCTAGCACTAGCACTTGTTGGTAAATAAAAGAAAACATGAGATTCAGAGTGCACTATTATCGRCTATTAGTCTCACAAACCTTTAACGACAAATTAAAACGACTCTATTTCAATATGATTTAGTCGATTGATAGTAAGAACATACTTTGTTCGTCAGATAAACAGGGAATGGCACCACTTCAGCTCTTTGTTTAAGGTCTATTTGAAAGCCTCCATAGTATGGTGTGGGTAGGAGAAACCCCTCTGAAAATAAACATAAYAACCAATAAATSATTGATTGTCGTGTGTTTAACGGTRAAATAAAGCACGCGGGGTTAGAAGAAAAGAAAAAAAAGGTCTAAAAATCACGATTGCAGCTTGTTTATATAGGTTTATTTTTTTGCCAATCTGTCTATAAGTATACGTCGCGTTTTAGCCATAGGAAGCCCAAAATTTGTCACGCGGTCTTGAACCTTATAAGTGTCGAGTAGAAGTAGCTGATGGTAATAAGATATATAAAATCAAAACCATTTACAAATATTACAAAATTCCGAAAGAACGAAAAATAAAATAGAATAAATAAATAAATCTATTTTAAAATTTCTAAGAATTAAGTTAAATTTGATGCAAAATTGTCCATGCTAAAATCAGAATTGTTAGTTTCAAAGTTCCTTCGTTTTGCTCTCGTTCCTCTCAGGCAAAGCAGGTCAGATCGTAACAAGGCGAACGACACTTTCACTCTTATCCAGGCCATCGTGTTGGAATAGGTCTCTTCTTTCTTCACCGATACAAGTTCAGCTAAGCGTTTATGGTACATGTGACATTCTGGACTCATTCCTCCAGTGCTGCTGAAAATCAGGGRCGTAAACGTCCCTTGCTCAACTTCTAAAATTCTGGTGGCATACTTTCGTTTCTTTTCTGCTTCATGCTGTCTATATACTTGCTGTATTGCTTTGTCACGGTAGCACTCAGCATTTGGGTGAAAAACCCTGACGTCAAAGAATGCCGAGCGCTGCCGCTCCCAAAACCCTCTTGCCATGATATCTAGACGAGCGTCTTTTGATTTGTTTGCTTCATCATTTAATATTTCTCCAGTTATGTCTTGCAGGGAGGTTCTAATAGCACATCTTTACAGACGGTTCAAGTAACGCTRCTTCTAAATCTCGAATTTCATTGTACCGTTGGATTACCAGGCCTCCGTTTCTACATATCATGGCGTGGTTTGCGTCAAAACTGTTCCACAGACGAATCGATGTGGAATGTCTGAAAACTCCCAATTGTAACGCAGCTTCAGAGCATCTCTAAACTCTCCCTTGTTTAGATCGTATCCTAGTTCTTTCAGTGGAATGACTATTAGCCAACTAGAAGCTCCCTTTTCGGATGATTGCTCTTTAACCTTCAGTTGTGTCGCTGTTAGCATACCCTTTACTATCTCTTCATTTTGTCTAAGGTTCTCACGTTTMTTTGYCAYTGCCGTGCATTTGGCAGTAATGATTTCACTTGGATCTGGAACATGGTGATCTTGATTGACAATGCGCTGAACCAGTGGTTTGGTAACAGTTACTGACGCTTCATATTCTTCAGGTGCTAATTCTACACGATATGACAGGCCAAGACCACCCAATCTCACTGGAAGGGCCAGTAACTCGCGCTCCTCTTCTTTTAAATGACGATCTGTGATTGTAGGAATAAAAACATCCTTAGTATTGCAGTTTCCAGAGGCTCTAGAAGATCAGCTATCTCGGGCAGTCTTCTTATAAAATATGTCCAGCGATTACGTAATTGTATGCAGCGTAGCATGCCTGAGGCTGAGCGATTGCAAACTCAGCAAGTTTGGTGACTTGTTTGATCCATTCTTCTACTTTGTCTCCTAGATATTCTTCCAAGAAGGCTCTTGACCCTAAAACTGCTGGTTGTGTCCTTCAGACGTGACGTTGATTGCAGTGTCAGCAAAAACTTCCTTTGCCAGTCCCTCTTTCTCCGGCTTAGTGATTAGCCAGCTTCTTGGCATTCGGAAAGTAGCCTAAGTGAGGTCCACTTTCTGAGAGTACATCCCACCATTTTCTGACTTCATGAAGTGATCCACTACCAGCTGCGTCATCGGCGAACCAACATTGCTTAGAGGAGCTTGCAAAATTTAGGCGAGTAATGGGTGGTTGGAGGCTAATAGCATAGAGACTTATGGCAAGCGGATCGCCTTGGGTTGTACCCTCAACAGATCTTAACTCTTGACCACCGATGACAAATAACCGCGCAGGTTGTTTATACGTGTTGATAGCATATACCGGTATAGGAGTACAAAGTACCCTTATATTGTGTAGGGATGCTGCTCTGTTCAAAGAATTAAAAGCTTCAAAGATGGCTCTCATAGTATGAATGGCTGCTTCACTGCCGCTTTTCAATCCAGCGCACACTTGTAAGAGATCCACTTGCCTCGATGACATCATGTTTTATTACTCTCTTGTGATGCATTTTCCGACAATCCTGCGTAGCACCTCCCCGACACCAATCGGACGGACTGCTCCTTCACCCTTGTCAAGTGGTATTAAACGGCTTGAAAGTAACGCCTCAATACTGATTGGATCCACGTACTCCGTACATAGCCTTTTTGTCATTTTTGCAATAGGATCACAGAGATTTTTACCAGACGTTTTGAAGGTTTTAGATGACAGAATCCTCCGAAATCCATCAACATCAACGCCACAAGGACCACTAGAGTCTTTGGTTCTCAACGCAGCATCGTGCACCATCTCGCCATCTGAATTTCAAGAAACAAAGAGGCAGGGATTTCTTCAGCCGGACCAAAGACCAATGATCCGAATTGGGCTCCCTTTGCATCGGAGGGTGTTTGTCTTTAAGTTGTCTTAATACGTCGTCACTTGGGGAAAGAACTCCTTCACCATCGTCATCACTGAGGTATCCCATGGCAGAATGGATTTGCCCCTTCATTACAAGATTAGCAAATATTCGAGCTTTGTTTGGTGTGTCAGACCTTTTCGAGCTTGTTAGTCGCCTTTGAATAAATCGACCCTCACGCATCAAGGCATCTATGTCACCTTTTTTCCATAGAGGCAGTCGTTTGGTAAGACACTCCTGGTGATCTTTCGCTTTAGACTTTTTATTTGGTTTCTGGAGAGCAACCACCATGAGCACAAAAGCTGCCTTCAGAGAGACATGTTTCCCTTCGGCTCCATTGTTCCATATATTGATATGATGTGTTATTTGATCTACAGCTGTTTGCAATAATTCTGACCCCCCTACACTAATATTCATATATATCAAAATAGCCTTAGAAATTATGGGATACCATTGCTGATATAGCCATAAACTTTACAAATGTAAATCACTCCACGATTTTCGCACGTACCCGCCAGGGACCACCAAGAATAGTGAAAACTAGTTTCGAATTTTTCTTCAACTGTTGTAAAACATATAGTGAACTGAAGAGGTTTTTAATAAACGAAACTAGTTTTCACTATTCTGGTGGTCCCTGGCCGGTACGTGCGAAAATCGTGGAGTGATTTACATTTGTAAAGTTTATGGCTGTTACAAGATTTTTTGAAGTCTCGGCGAAAGCTATTTGTCAAAGATTGCTGATATATTTTTTAGAAAGTACTCATTCTGGACAACTCAAAAAATATATCAGTCATGATATCCCATAATATTAAAGGTCAGTTTGATATATATGAAATATGGCAGAGGGGGTCAGAATTATTGCAAACAGCTGTATCATGTCTTTACCTGCTCTTCCATATGGAACGAGAAAGGTGTTCTTGCGCCATTGTGATATTTCGTTATATCATCGATTGTTGATGTTTTAACAAACAAAGCTCCTCCGTCGTTTGAATGCCCCGATTGAAAAGAAGACAGCTTTTCAAAAACATCATAAGAGGAAGATTATCAGGGATTACTCTTGAAGCATCGTCAATAGTTGATTGACTCTCCTTTGGGAGTTGTAGGTTGATATGAATGAAAATTTGGATCCAAAAACATCTCATCTGCATTTTGCTTGCTTGAATCCAGTTGGTCAATAATATTCAGTAAAAACCGATCATCACTCGAAGAATTTAAAGCACCTGTAATTCTTGCATTTTCTCCAACCTTGAAGCTTGATCTCGAAGGTTTTGACTTTTAATGGAAAGATTTCCATACCCCTTTGTAAAGCCTTTTTTTAGCCTTTTTTGTAGCCTTTTTTGTAGCCTTTTTCCATTCGCACTCTAAAAGATCTAAGTTCATCCGCTCTGTCCATTTAAAATTTTTGGCTTTCCTTGGAATTGTGAGTCTGCTGTGGAATCGTTTGCATTCGCTTCCCATACCTCCGGTTGTGGTGAATACTAATAGGGTAAAGGACGCTTGCTCGACTTCCATAACGTGCTTGGCGTACAATCTTTTCTTATCATTTTCGTGTTGACGATAAACTTGCTTTGGTATGAGATCCTTATGATTCATTATTTGGATGGCAAACTCTTATATCGAAAAACGCAGATTTTTGCCTCTCCCAGAAACCACGTCCATGAATGTCTAATCGGGCATCACATGCGGTATTTGCACCTCGTGTTGATTTAAAGACTCTCCAGTGATTTCTTGCAATACAGGTTCTGTTTCTACATCTTTACAAACTTTATGGACAATAGTTCGGCTAGCCTGCTGTGAAATAGCTAGCACTCTTCAGACATACCACCCGTTGTTGTAAACACGAAGGGGGTGAAGCTTGCTTGTTTAATCTCCAAGATGGCCGCTATGACGTAACCTGCAAACGAAGAATTCTTTACCGTGTCCGTGACCGTGCGACACGGTTATAATCTGCTGAAATATGCTTATTCTTATTTTTCCCGTAGATATTTTCGCTTCGGCGCATCCCAATTAAGTTTATCTTATTAATACTAAATACAAGCCTCTCTTGAAAAATGAAATTATAAAATAGCGCCAGTTTATACACTTCAGCTAAAGATTTAACGTCATATTCCGTACATGCGATGCATTGTAGGATACATTTAAGACAAAATATGGTAGATTTCTTTTGTCTTTCTTCACAAACTGATCCCACAATGCTTTGCAAATCACGCGAAGAATAAATAAATCTCTCCTATATTTCTGCATTTTCAAAGAAGTTTTAGTATGACTTATTTCAGGCCCGAAGGCTGGGGAGGTTCGGATGAGCCCGGATTATTGCCTTTCTTGTAGTTTTATAGATTACTTTACTCTTAACATATTTCATTACTGATTTAATTCACAAGTTATTCATAATTAGTTTGATTTATTGAAAGGAGTAATCGGTATAAGATAAACAACAAATTATCATTTTGGTGGGGACATTTTATGACCAAACTAGACGCTCTGTGAGCGTGTAGTCGGCCTAGCTATTTTGTGAAAATGGAGGAAGATGGGAAGATGGAATATCGCTCCTGGTTCCTAATTTGAAGTGTTTTCAAGAGTGACTTCTTTAAATTTCSTGTCTTTACCAGAGGTAGCCTGACATTTCGATGTGAGAACCTCCAGATTCTTTTAAATGTACAAAATGTTGTGAGATTTATTATCAGCATCAACAAAAGATGTGTTATGGTCTACTATGGGTTGTATATTAGGGTTATGAAATGTTATAGCATATGTACCATTAGAAGGCAACAGTTTATTCTCATCTCTTCACTGATAGTAAAGTATTAGCAAATGATAAAAAAATGTCTCAGTTTCTTTTTACTTGTTTGGTGTGTGATATGTGACAACAACCTTATTGTTTTTGCATTTCATTATCTCATTAGTGTGTATTAATCGTATTTTTCGGTCTGGAAGTGAAAATTCTCCAATTTCTGTAGTATGTTGTAATTGTATGTTGTCAGCAAGGATCTCTGGTTATGCATCCGATGTTTATTGACATCCCTTGTTATAGTTCTTGTAATAATCGGCTGCAATGCGTGCTATACATTTAAGTTGTTAACAGAAAGGATTGAGTGAGGTATGCTAGTATGTTAGTGAGGTATGCTAGTATGTTAGTGAGGTATGCTAGTATGTTAGTGAGGTATGCCAGTATGTTAGTGAGGTATGCCAGTATGTTAGTGAGGTATGCTAGTATGTTAGTGAGGTATGCTAGTATGTTAGTGAGGTATGCTAGTATGTTAGTGAGGTATGCTAGTATGTTAGTATAATGTTCTATTGTGTTTGATTGATACACTTCTGTACTTTCATGATGAGCAAACGCCAATATAATTCTTTTTTTTTTTAGAATAAAATCGGAAAATAAATATTCAATATTCAAAGTACATTTCAAATATTCAAACTATGTAAAAAGGTAGAACTATAGTCGACCTCAGAGAGCCCGACTAATAAAGAATTAATATACACATCTACCATAAGATTAAACAGAGATCACATGTCACTTGCAGTTTTCAATTTCAAACACATCGTTTAGAAAATGGCATCAAKATTTTTCAGATGAGGTTTGATATGTTTTAGTCCATTGAATAATTGTTTTTTGTCAAAGTATGAMCCTTAAATATCCATGTGATTTCTTATTTTTGAAGATTTTGTGATTCACATCGAACACTTCGAGTCGGCGGTAGGAAATGCATCAATTTCTGCACGAATCATCCGGTAACCTTGAATTACATACCTCATTCCATGTCGTTTGGATGTTAATCAGTTGATTTTGTAAGATTTTCAGCTCTTTAGGGCATTTTAGCTACATTTTAGAACCATTTAAAACTAGATATTCTTAGCCGCAGTCTGTCCGCCATTTTGTTTTCATCTCTTGGAGTATCATGCATAACTTAGTTCATCACGTGATATTTGGGTTTCCTGTGGACCAAACGCGACACGAAAGATAGATAGATAGATAGATACATTGTCTAAAAGGTAGAACTAAAGTCGACCTAGCCTATGGCTAGCCCGACTAACAAGAAAGAGTTCAGAGCGTAAATTCAATTTGTCGTTGCTGTTATCGTTATAAATGTTACTGTGTATTATTCAAGTTAAGTTTGTTGTTGGAGCGAGAGAATGATAGGAAAATAATAAATATCCGCAAGAAAAAGATATTTGGTACTCTCGACTTTTACGACTCTCAACGCTCAACAAATAGCTACTCTCTTTGCACTTACGATAACAAAACTGCTAATTTTGCTTTTAAATTGTACCAGAAGATGTCTGAGAGACCCCACTCTACCTCACCTCTAATAGATTTCACTCTACGTTATAATTAATTCAAACTATAATGCTTCACTGTTACCTCCAGGATCGGCTAAAACTGTTCCCATAGCCTCAACAATAGCATTGCAACCATTGATCACACAAAGCTAAAAAAATAAATCCAAAACACAATGTTATCAAAATAAATACTCGAGGTCTTGGTAAAAACCCTTCTATAGTGTTCTCCCAACAATCCCGCGAGTTTCTAACAGAGAATGGAAACACGGAAAATATTTTCCGATGCTTAATGCAAACCTGGCTTATAGAATCTAAGCTATAGGCGATTTGTATGTTAACATAATTCTACTACCAAAAGCGCGATACTTGTCATTCAGAATTTTATCCCTTTCGGAGACAACAATTATCTCAAATCACATCACACAAAAAATTGGCAAAGCATTCTGGCCTTTGTGGTATGTGACGTCATTTCAGTGCAGTTAYATTTGAAAAGCACTAACTGTAGTCACCGAGAATGTACAGCTACAATGTAACAACCTACATTATCGGGATCAATATTTTCCAGTGGTTTCATGTAGTGATCTAAGAATTCAGCAACAGCTTTCCTGAATCTGAAATGTGTCAAAGAAATCATTAATGTATGAGCGTGTAATCTGCCAAAGCCGCCCCAAGTGTATTTGGAAAAAAACTTCAGGTCGAAAATGTGTACGTAAAACCGCCATGAGATACTATTGCTATCTCCTCTGTTTGCGATCGTTTGTTTTGATTTACAAATCATCTCTTGTTGACGATTACTAGCTGATTGKTTGATAGGTAAGCAGTCAATAAATGTTCAACTTGTTAACGTGACCCCGAGCAAGAAAACTGTCAGCAAAAATAAGACCTACCGGGGTAAGGTAAAGGACGTCTTTTCGATCATCCGCCAATGAAATTGCAATTAAATATTAGTATTCATCTGTAACTGACTTTTAGACTATAAAAATGCTACCTATTATTTACTCATAAAATCGTTAACAATAAAACTGGGATATCATTCATCTTTGCTGTTCATCATTCGWTGGCGAAGATGAACATGACTTCAATTTCGGGATAAGCGGCGACTGTGGGGTCGAAGGTGACTAATAAGTCCAATCCGAACCCTGAAGGCCCGTCCGCATGTAGGGTACAAGTGGGTGCAGGTGCTGGAGTTGAAGTGGAGACAGCTCGGGCCTTGTGTACGGCACGTTTTCTCTGGGCCTCTGTTATGCGTCGAATTTCAGCTGCACGAGCTCCAATGGTGAGCTTGGTACGCCAGCTTGAGCTCKAGCGGAGSCAGCACGCAGCCCTATTTTACGCCGTTTGTCACTGGGAAGGCATTAAACTCGTCTTCATCATTTAGTACCTTCACCATTTTGCCATTATGGAACTGCCGGACAAGCGTGGCGAACTTACAGGGTCAGCCAAACTTTTCCATGATCTTCCATACACCATCCCTKCAGACCGTGTCAAAGTCCTTCGTCAGATCGACAAAGGTCATGTAGAGTTCGCTTTGCTGCTCTTGGTATGCTGCATATATCATGTCCGCTGTTCCACATTCGGCCCTGAAGCCRCACTTTCTGTGGGGAGTCCTTTTTTAAGGTGTTGGAGGAGACGATTTAGCAGTATACACGAGCCAGTAGCTATGGACAAGAGGRAGATGCCTTTGTGGTTATCTCAGGACTGACATTTGCCTTTCCCCTTGTAGATTTGGACAGTGCTGCCATCCTTGAACTGTTGTGGGACTTATTTCTCGAGCCACGTAAACTGAAAGAGTCGAGTCAGCTTCTGAATCATGGCGGGCCCTCCTGCCATGTGCACATTTCTGCAGGAATAGCGTCTTGTCCTGGTGCTTTGGCACAGGTGAGTTGCTTGACAGCCTTTCTAACTTCTTCAGTGGGGATGTTGTCTAGTTCTTGCTTAGTTCCACKTGGGGCAGGTGGACTACGGCTTCGTCGTTGACTGTTGTTGAGCGGTTGAGGACGCTGTTGAAGTGTTCAAGCCATCTCTCCAGTATCAGCTTCTTCTTTATCACCAGCTGGATCCCATCTGCGTTGAGTGGCGAGGATCCAGAGGACTGAGGTTCGTAAACCGTCTTCAGTGCGTCGTAAAAACGCTTTGGGTCATGGGTATCAGCGTAGCCCTAAATTTTGTAGAAGCACTCGCTAGGCACTCGTTGTTAGTTACAAGTCTTTATTCGTATTTCTTTACAAGTTTGAGTCTTTGCAGTTTTTACTGAGTCTTTTACTGAAGCTCATCTAAGTATCAACTGAATCTCAACTGAGCTAAAAGTGCTCAACAGGGAGTTTTGTCTAATTGGATTGCACGTGACTTGAGCCTGAGATTTGTCAGCGGTGACATGGTCACATGACTGATTGGAGATATCCCATTGGTTGCCAAGTAAGGGCTAGAACTCATTATGTGGTGTTTACTAATTAAACACAGAAATCTTTGCAAAGGAAAATCTCTACTTTTCCTGGCACTAAATACTAGGATACAAAAGTACCTAAGTAGCAAAAATGAAGTTGCAAATGATAGTGGTTTGGTTTTTAGTGCCATTCGAAGTAAGAGGCAAACCTTAGTGCAGAAAGTGATTGCRCAGTTACGCCACGTAACTGTGCATTATGTACAAGTTAGGGGGAAGCTGCGAAGATTGCATCCCCAGGTAAAATCAATAGATAAATGGATAATATTGCACAATAATGAGTTCTAGAGAACAGCTGCTGGTGTTTCCCAGGAAACCAAGGTAAAGTTCAATAGTACGTCAGGTGGTTTTCCTTTAGGAAACACCATTAAATCAATATCTCTTGTGAGCAACCAATAAGATATCTTAGCGCTACGATGTCCATAACATAATGTCAACACTATCTGGAAAACATATTGAAAATATTGTTTACTAACGAATCGGCATGTTTGCCTTTAATCAAACATTTGAAAAACATGA